CTGTCCCCTGACACAATGAATTATAATTATATTATAATGGACAAGTGATCCCATTTGGATCAAGACAAGGTGGACAAGTGATGATTGACAAGTGACAAGTGACTAAGTTTCATCAATGTTCAACTGATCATTTTGTTGAACATTTACGCCATATTTATTTTGTATTAGCTTCCCGCCAAATCTTATACGTCGTTACTATGTCTCCCTCTTCTGTTTTTTTATGTCGTAGATAGAAAAGTCAAAATTTCTTGGACGTTCCTCATAGCTCAGTTCTCGCAGATTAAATACGAGTTTTACAACATACAATTAGACTAACTTCACGTTGTGTAATTTGTTCAACGATGAATTTTACAAGGCCGCGGGCTGCATATTCTAGGATAGGTCTTACATACGTTATGTACAGAGATTTGGAAGGCTCTCAGACCTAGAGTACAGGGGCCAGATTCACGAAAGCACTTACGCAAGCACTAACGAACCAGTACATCTTTCGTCAATCTTTGACGGCTTTGGTTACATTTATTAAACAGTTTACAAGCATGAAAACTTGCCAATCAACTGTTATTGTTATAAACAGCCTCCTGGTGCTTCAGAGCTCATTAACTGTTTAATAATTGTAAACAAAGTCGCCAAAGATTGAGAAAAGATGTACAGGTTCGTAAGTGCTTGCGTAAGTGCTTTCGTGAATCTGGCCCCTGAAGGCTACGGGGACACGTCCCTGGAAACACAAACCGAAACTGTCTCTATTTTCCGCTTGTTACAACTTGTAATAAAGTTGTTACATCTTGGGTTAACGTGTTTATGACGTATTAGAACGTTGTTACAACTTGCTATATTGGTTGTTATAACTGGTTAGGTGGTGTTAAAAGTTGTTCGAACGTTGTACCAACGTCGTAGTTTCGGTGTGTGTTTGGCGGGGTACCCGCCAGTTTAGCATCAAGCAGCAGTCACTATTCAACGAAGGTGTGACTTGGCGTCTGTTTGAGGGGTTTACGACTCTTCCAAGAACGGTCCCCATCTTACACTCGGGAAAATCCCATCTCCAACATTTCTGGTGATCAGCTGTTGTTGATGTTGTTGTTGTTGTTGTTGTTGTTGTAGGGTGGAGGCCTGGTCGACGACCGGGCCGCGGGGACACTAAGCCCCGGAAGCACCTCAAGGTAGGGATGCGACCCGGCCGCCCGATACCGGGAAATAGCAAAGAGTGATGTGATCTCTACAGCCTCTTTAGGCCATTTGGTGATCTTCTTGAGGTTATCTTGAGATGATTTCGGGGCTTTTAGTGTCCCCGCGGCCCGGTCCTCGACCAGGCCTCCATCCCCAGGAAGCAGCCCGTGACAGCTGACTAACACCCAGGTACCTATTTTACTGCTAGGTAACAGGGGCATAGGGTGAAAGAAACTCTGCCCATTGTTTCTCGATGAACAAATCCACAAGGGCCGTGACGAGGATTCGAACCTGCGTCTGAGAGCATTTGGTCGATGTTGGTGCCTGAAGACACCTGTCTTCTGTCAAGTTCCCTCCGTCTTCAGGTTCCCTCAAACCTGTCGCGCGTCACCGTCCCCGTCCACTGACTGTCTACTGGGCTCCTTGTAGAGCATCTTAAGGTCCTCCTGCTCCGCTATGCTGTGTGTATTTGCCAGGCTTCTCGCCATAGGTATAATTTAAGGCTGAAATTATATTTTTCATGGTTAATGGTTAATCAATGATCAGAAACGATTAGGCACGTTTCCTTTCACCTAATGCCTCTAACCGGAAGATAGGCCATTCTTCAATGGTTGCATCCATATGAAGCGTCATGTCATAATATTATATCTATATCTACCTATATATATATATTACATTATATATATATATATATATATATATATATATATATATATATATATATATATATATATATATATACATGCTATTCCCAACAACGGGTATTATACGCATTAGTTGTGAATGTGCGCATGTGTGCGTAAGGCTGGCGTAAGCGGCATGGTGAATACCGCGTCGCATGTTGCTTCACGGGCCTGGCTGGCTCCAGGGCTTCTCCATATTCAGTCAGATGCTGCAGGTGGAGGCGGCCAGCTCCACCCAGCCAAACACACACCAAAACTACGACGTTGGTACAACGTTCGAACAAGTTTTAACACCACCTAACCAGTTATAACAACCAATATAGCAAGTTGTAACAACGTTTTAATACGTCATAAACACGTTAAGCCAAGCTGTAACAACTTTATTACAAGTTGTAACAAGCGAAAAATAGAGACAGTTTCGGTTTGTGTTTCCAGGGACCCAGCCTTCAGCAGGAGACACCTCCATGCTCAGGAGGGAGTGGTGGAGGGAAGGAAGGGGGGGGGGGGGGGGCATCAGGAATCCTAGTGGCTGAGTGGGGCGTCGGTGGCTGAGTGGGGCGTCGGTGGCTGAGTGGACAGCACGCTGGATACGTAGTCATGTGGACCGGGGTTCGAATCCCGGCACCGGTGGGAAACTATGAGGGCAGAGTTTCTTTCACCTTGATTCCCCTCTGTTACCTAGCAGTAAATAGGTACCTGGGAGTTAGACAGCTGTTACGGGCTGCTTCCTGGGGGTGTAAGTGTGTGGAAAACAAAAATTTAGTTAGTGGTTAGTAACACTTGATTGACAGTTGAAAGGCGGGCCGAAAGAGCAGAGCTCAACCCCAGCCACAACTAGGTGAATACACACACACACACACACACACACACACACACACACACACACACACACACACACACACACACACACACACACACACACACACACAGGAAAAAGGAGAGTTGACTACAGAAAAGGGGGGGCTACAGGAAAGGGGACTATAAGAGGATAAGGGAGTATCTGGGAGAAGTGCAGTGGGAGGAAGAAATTAGAGGAAAAACAGTCCAAGATATGATGGACCTAGTCATACAGAAATGCCAGGAGGCCGAAGAGAGATTTATACCAACAGTAAAGGAAAAAAGCAGGAGGGAATATGATCACCCATGGTTTAACAGACAGTGTCAGGAAGAGCCATTGTGTCAGCCAGAGGCACGATGAGAAGCAGGCGGGAGTGGAGGAAGTACAGAAGACAAAGGACAGAGGACAACAGGATCAGATGCAACAGAGCTAGGAACGATTACATTAACATAAGAAGAGCATCGGAAAGAAATTATGAGAACGATATTGCGATCAAAGCGAAAAAGCAACCTAAATTACTACACAGTCATATAAGAAGAAAGATGTCGGTGAACGACCAAGAGATAAGATTAAGAACAGCGGTTGGACCAGACAAAGTATCACCGTGGATACTAAAAGAGGCAGCGCAGGCACTCAGCGTGCCTCTGGCAAGGATCTTTAATGAGTCACTTATGTCGGGAGAATTGCCCAGTTGCTGGAAGAAGGCAAATGTGGCACCAATCTTCAAGAAAGGTGATAGGGCGGAGGCACTTAACTATAGACCTGTATCACTGACAAACATCCCCTGCAAAATACCTGAAAGACTAATTAGACTAAGACTAGTTGCACACCTGGAGAACATTAGGTTTGTAAACAAACACCAACATGGGTTCTGGAAAGGGAAATCATGCCTAACAAATCTTTTGGAATTCTATGATAAAATAACGAGGATAAGGAAGGACAGAGAAGGCTGGGCAGACTGCTTATTTCTAAAATGCCAAGAAACCTTTGATACAGTACCGCACATGAGACTGCTATTCAAACTTGAGAGGCAGGCAGGAGTAAGTGGAAAGGCCCTAGTATGGGTAAGGAACTACCTAACAGGAAGGAGCTAGAGAGTAATGGTAAGGGGCGAGAAGTCGGACTGGCGAACAGTAACGAGTGGAGTACCTCAAGGATCGGTGCTGGGACCAATTCTATTTCTAATATACGTTAACGACATGTTTACAGGAGTAGAATTCTACATGTCGATGTTTGCGGATGACGCAAAATTAATGAGGAGAGTTGTGACAGATGAGGATTGTAGGATCCTCCAAGAGGACCTGAACAGGTTCCAGAGATGATCAGAGAAATGGCTGCTGGAGTTCAACTCGAGCAAATGTAAAGTTATGGAAATGGGATTAGGTGATAGAAGACCAAAGAGACAGTTCACAATGAAGGGGAACTGCCTACCTGTGACGATTCGAGAAAGAGACCTGGGAGTGGACGTAACACCTAATCTATCTCCTGAGGCACATATAAATAAGATATCGACAGCAGCGTACTCTACACTGGCAAAAGTTAGAATATCATTCAGAAACCTAAGTAAGAAGGCATTTAGGATGTTTTACACTGCCAACGTGAGACCAGTTTTAGAGTATGCCGCGCCATCATGAAGTCCCGACCTGAAGAAACACATAAGGAAACTGAAAAAGGTTCAGAAATTTGCGACGAGGCTCGTCCCAGAATTACGAGGAATGGGATATGAAGAGCGCCTGAAGGAACTGAACCTTACGACACTAGAAAAAAGAAGGGAGAGGGGGGGGATATGATAGGAACGTATAAAATACTCAGGCGAATTGACAGAGTGGAAATAGACGAAATGTTCACACGGAATAGTAACAGAACGAGGAGATATGGGTGGAAGCTGGAAACTCAGATGAGTCACAGAGATGTTAGGAAGTTTTCTTTTAGCGTGAGAGTAATGGAAAAATGGAATGCACTTGAGGAACAGGTTGTGGAAGCAAATACTATTCATAATTTTAAAACTAGGTATGATAGGGAAATGGGACAGGAGTCATTGCTGTAAACAACCGATGGCTAGAAGGCGGGATCCAAAAGTGCCAATGCTCGATCCTGTAGACACAAACAGGTGAGCACACACACACAGACACACACACACACACACACACACACACCTGAAGTCGAAGCCACAAAAGGTATCAAACCCCTATTAATATTGTTGGAGAAATCAGAAGGTAGACTCGCTCCAAGTTGGTCCACAGACACACAGACCAGTTTACACGCCCACACCGGCAGCAGGGGAGCCAAGGAGCTTTCACTTGGACCTCCAGGACTTAGGGCTGGAGGCTGTGGCCTGGGCTGGGGACTGTGGCCTGGGCTGGGGGCTGTGGCCTGGGCTGGAGGCTGTGGCCTGGGCTGGAGGCTGTAGCCTGGGCTGGGGACTGTGGCCTGGGCTGGGGGCTGTAGCCTGGGCTGGAGGCTGTGGCCTGGGCTGGGGACTGTGGCCTGGGCTGGGGACTGTGGCCTGGGCTGGAGGCTGTAGCCTGGGCTGGAGACTGTGGCCTGGGCTGGGGGCTGTAGCCTGGGCTAGGGGCTGTAGCCTGGGCTGGGGGCTGTGGCCTGGGCTGGAGGCTGTAGCCTGGGCTGGAGACTGTGGCCTGGGCTGGGGGCTGTGGCCTGGGTTGGGGACTGTGGCCTGGGCTGGGGACTGTGGCCTGGGCTGGGGACTGTGGCCTGGGCTGGGGGCTGTAGCCTGGGCTGGAGGCTGTGGCCTGGGCTGGGGACTGTGGCCTGGGCTGGAGGCTGTGGCCTGGGCTGGGGACTGTGGCCTGGGCTGGAGGTTGTAGCCTGGGCTGGGGACTGTAGCCTGGGCTGGGGACTGTGGCCTGGGCTGGAGGCTGTGGCCTGGGCTGGAGGCTGTGGCCTGGGCTGGAGGTTGTAGCCTGGGCTGGGGACTGTAGCCTGGGCTGGGGACTGTGGCCTGGGCTGGAGGCTGTGGCCTGGGCTGGAGGCTGTGGCCTGGGCTGGAGGCTGTGGCCTGGGCTGGAGGCTGTGGCCTGGGCTGGAGGTTGTAGCCTGGGCTGGGGACTGTAGCCTGGGCTGGGGGCTGTGGCCTGGGCTGGGGGCTGTGGCCTGGGCTGGAGGCTGTGGCCTGGGCTGGGGACTGTGGCCTGGGCTGGGGACTGTGGCCTGGGCTGGGGACTGTGGCCTGGGCTGGGGACTGTGGCCTGGGCTGGGGACTGTGGCCTGGGCTGGGGACTGTGGCCTGGGCTGGGGACTGTGGCCTGGGCTGGGGACTGTGGCCTGGGCTGGGGACTGTGGCCTGGGCTGGGGACTGTGGCCTGGGCTGGGGGCTGTAGCCTGGGCTGGAGGCTGTGGCCTGGGCTGGGGACTGTGGCCTGGGCTGGAGGCTGTGGCCTGGGCTGGAGGCTGTGGCCTGGGCTGGAGGCTGTGGCCTGGGCTGGGGACTGTAGCCTGGGCTGGGGGCTGTGGCCTGGGCTGGGGACTGTGGCCTGGGCTGGAGGCTGTGGCCTGGGCTGGAGGCTGTGGCCTGGGCTGGGGACTGTGGCCTGAGCTGGGGACTGTGGCCTGGGCTGGGGGCTGAGGCCTGGGTTGGGGGCGACATAGGAAGTGAGGCCAGTTGACAGAACTAGTACTATTGAAGGGAATGGGGCTGAGAGTCGGGGCTGAGAGTCGGGGCTGAGAGTTGGGGCTGAGAGTTGAGGCTGAGAGTCGGGGCTGAGAGTTGGGGCTGAGAGTTGGGGCTGAGAGTCGGGGCTGAGAGTCGGGGCTGAGAGTCGGGGCTGAGAGTCGGGGCTGAGAGTCGGGGCTGAGAGTCGGGGCTGAGAGTCGGGGCTGAGAGTTGGGGCTGAGAGTTGGGGCTGAGAGTCGGGGCTGAGAGTCGGGGCTGAGAGTCGGGGCTGAAAGTCGGGGCTGAGAGTTGGGGCTGAGAGTTGGGGCTGAGAGTCGGGGCTGAGAGTCGGGGCTGAGAGTCGGGGCTGAGAGTCGGGGCTGAGAGTCGGGGCTGAGAGTCGGGGCTGAGAGTCGGGGCTGAGAGTTGGGGCTGAGAGTCGGGGCTGAGAGTCGGGGCTGAGAGTTGGGGCTGAGAGTCGGGGCTGAGAGTCGGGGCTGAGAGTCGGGGCTGAGAGTCGGGGCTGAGAGTTGGGGCTGAGAGTTGGGGCTGGGGTGAGTGTTGGGATTGGGACTGAGACAGGGGGGTGGGGGGTGTGCCCATGAGCTGGTGACTGAAGGGACTCAAGATAGAGCTGTGTCTTTGGACCGAAGGCTAAAAGCAGCTGTTTCGAGATAGAGTGATTACATTATGTTGCTGCATACTCCAAAACTGGTCTGATATACGTTCCATATATTGCCTTGAGAGGATCCTTGATTACGTTTTTTGAGCGCTGTTCAGAGGGTTCCCAGCTAATTAACGCTGTTCTTATATGATTCATGCAAATACCTTACGGTGAAGCTTATTTTCCGGTGCTTGTTTCCCCTTTTCATATAGTCATTACCTTACACTTACTGGGATTGATATCTAGTAGCCATTTATGTGTCCGCTCTGCGGCGTGTGATGGTCTTCCTACAGCATTTTGCTGTCTTTACTCTCATTAGTTTGCGTTATCTGCACCATATATGTGAATTTTGTCCATAACCCTCGAAACACAAACCGAAACTGTCTCTATTTTCCGCTTGTTACAACTTGTAATAAAGTTGTTACATCTTGGCTTAACGTGTTTATGACGTATTAGAACGTTATTACAACATGCTATATTGGTTGTTATAACTGGTTAGGTGTTAAAACTTGTTCAAACGTCGTACCAACGTCGTAGTTTCGGTGTGTGTTTGACGGGAAGTGGGTTGTTCACATGAATTTCGAATAGCACAGGACCCAGAACCGAACCCTGAGGGACTCTGCTTGCTACAGGTGTCCATTGCCACGTGTTTAGCCACGACCCTCTGTTTCTTGTCCACGAGGTACCCTACACATAAGGGGCATAACTGGCAGACCCCTCACAGTGTTCAAGAGAGAACTGGATAAGCACCTCCAAAGGATACCTGATCAACCAGGCTGTGACTCATACGTCAGGCTGCGAGCAGCCGCGTCTAACAGCCTGGTTGATCAGTCCAGCAACCAGGAGGCCTGGTCGACGACCGGGCCGCGGGGACACTAAGCCCCGGAAGCACCTCAAGGTAACCTCAAGGTACCCCCATTTCCATGTTAGCGTGTCTGCAGATATCACAGCACGTTACCAAATGCTTTTAATAGTCCTGGAAAATGCAGTCACGCCATCTCATGTAGTCTCGGTGACAGTAATTTATCACACATGTGGAGCCGGTCGGCCGAGCGGACAGCACGCTGGACTGTGATCCTGTGGTCCCGGGTTCGATCCCGGGCGCCGGCGACAAACAATGGGCAGAGTTTCTTTCACCCTATGCCCCTGTTACCTAGCAGTAAATAGGTACCTGGGTGTTAGTCAGCTGTCACGGGCTGCTTCCTGGGGGTGGAGGCCTGGTCGAGGACCGGGCCGCGGGGACACTAAAGCCCCGAAATCATCTCAAGATAACCTCAAGATAACATGCCTCTCCTTCTCTAATGCCATGCTGACATTTGTTATAAATTTGAATCTGTCCAAGTTCTCAGCCTTTGTCCGCGATAATGTCTGTTTTCCTTAGTCATACGTTGGCCGTTGTACCATATAACCTTATTAAGGCCTTACTGGTATGGGTTGAAACTTTATTTTATTAATGTTTTGTTGTGCAACATGATGAGGTACACGTGCGCGCGCGCGCGCAGGCACACACACACACGTGTGCGTGTGTGTGTGTGTGTGTGTGTGTGTGTCATTTACATACGTAAATGATCTTCCGGAGGGTATTGACTCATTCCTCTCAATGTTTGCTGACGATGCCAAAATTATGAAAGGATTAAGACAGAGGAGGACTGCTTGAGGCTTCAAGAAGACCTGGATAAGCTGCAGGAATGGTCGAACAAATGGTTGTTAGAGTTTAACCCAAGCAAATGTAATGTAATGAAGATAGGTGTAGGGAGCAGGAGACCAGATACAAGGTATCATTTGGGAGATGAAATACTTCAAGAGTCAGAGAGAGAGAAAGACCTGGGGGTTGATATCACGCCAGACCTGTCCCCTGAAGCTCATATCAAGAGGATAACATCAGCGGCATATGACAGGTTGGCTAACATAAGAACGGCCTTTAGAAACTTGTATAAGGAATCATTCAGAACTTTGTATACCACATATATCAGACCAATCCTGGAGTATGCAGCTATCATGGAGTTATCATGGACTCCATGCAATCATGGAGTCCATATCTAGTCAAACATAAGACTAATCTGGAAAAGGTTCAAAGGTTTGCCACCAGACTAGTACCCGAACTGAGGGGTATGAGCTACGAGGAGAGACTACGGGAATTAAACCTCACGTCGCTGGAAGACAGAAGAGTCAGGGGGAACATGATCACCACATTCAAGATTCTCAAAGGAATTGATAAGGGTAGATAAAGACAGTATTTAACACAAGGGGCACGTGTACTATGGTACACAGGTGGAAACTGAATGCCCAAGAGCCACTGAGACATCAGAACGAACTTTTTCAGTGTCAGAGTGGTTGACAAATGGATTGCATTAGGCAGTGATGTGGTGGAGGCTGACTCCATACACAGTTTCAAGTGTTGACATGATAGAGCCCAGTAGGCTCAGGAACCTGTACACCTGTTGATTCACAGTTGAGAGGCGGGACCAAAGAGCCAAAACTCAACCCCCACAGGCACAACTAGGTGAGTACACCCCCTGGAGCGAGGCGGACAGGCACACACCCGGTGCCACTTCCGGGTTGTCAGCTGGTGGAGTGAACAAGGCAGTTAGCGTTGGTCGCGGGGCACTGTGAAGGCCCACCTGGTGGCCCTCCCTACTGACAGGGGGGGGGGGGGGCGACAGTGCTGGCACTATTCTACCACCGTCTTGGCAGTGCCCCGCTAGGGATGCACCTGGCACTCCAGGCACCCTTAGTGGTTCATCATATGGTGATTCTGACCCCCCCCTTCTGGGGCATATCCCCCCACCTCTCCCCATAGTTGGAAAGCCCCTACTCCCCCTCTTTACCTTCCCCCCCCCTAATTCCTCCTCTCTAACACCCCATCCCACCTTTCCTGCTCCCCCCCCCTTCCATCTGTTCTCCCCCCCCCGGCACCCCCTCCCGCCGGCACTGTGACAGTGATCACGTCACACATATTTACAGGGGAACCGGAAGATGCTGGCCGCCTGGCACTCACCTGTGTGGTGGTGGTGGTGGTGGTGGTGGTGGCTGTGGTGGTGGTAGTGGTGGTGGTGGTCTGTGTTGGCTGTGGCGCCCTGCCACCACCACCACTAACACCACCACCACAGCCACCACCACCACCACCACCACAGCCACCACCACCACCACAAACACCACCACCACAGCCACCACCACCACCACCACAAACACCACCACCACAGCCACCACCACCACCACCACAAACACCACCACCACAGCCACCACCACCACCACCACCACCACAGCCACCACCACCACCACAAACACCACCACCACAGCCACCACCACCACCACCACAAACACCACCACCACAGCCACCACCACTAACACTAACAACAAAATGATCTACCTAACCAAACGGATTTTCTATAATGCTCAGTATAATTATTGGCATGATAATGCTAAGTTTTTATTTTCAGTGCTGAAAGTAATTTATTATTAATTATTATTATTTTTATTATTATTATTATTATTATTATTATTATTGCTACGAGAGAGACTGGCTGAAGAGTAAGTTGCAAATGTCAGGTGTAATCCAGGCACATTGCGTGCAACCTGTCCTCACACAGGACAGGTTGTGAGGACACATACCTCACAAGTAGACACAAATGAGTTTATTTCACCTTGATGCGCCTGTTCACTCCTAGCAGTAAATGGGTACCTGGGAGTATAGACAGCTGTTACGGGCTGCTTCCTGGGGATGTGTGTGGGTGGGTGTGTGGGTGTGTGTGTGTGTGTGTGTGGGTGTGTATGTGTTTGTGTGTGTGTGTGTGTGTATAGTCACCTATTTGTGCTTGCAGGTGGTTGAGCTCTGGCTCTTTGGTCCCGGGACCGCTGTGTGCGTGTGTGTGTGTGTGTGTGTGTGTGTGTGTGTGTGTGTGTGTGTGTGTGTGTGTGTGTGTGTCTGTGTCTGTGTGTGTGTGTGTGTGTGTGTGTGTGTGTGTGTGTGTGTCTGTGTGTGTGTGTGTGTGTGTGTGTCTGTGTGTGTGTGTGTATTCACCTAGCTGTGTTTGCGGGGGTTGAGCTTTGCTCTTTCGGTCCGCCTCTCAACTGTCAATCAACTGTTTACTAACTACTTTTTTTTTCTCCACACCACACACACACACACCCCAGGAAGCAGCCCGTGACAGCTGACTAACTCCCAGGTACCTATTTACTGCTAGGTAACAGGGGGCATTCAGGGTGAAAGAAACTTTGCCCATTTGTTTCTGCCTGATGCGGGAATCGAACCCGCGCCACAGAATTACGAGTCCTGCGCGCTAGCCACCAGGCTACCAGACCTACCAGTGTGTGTGTGGGGGGGGGGGGAGGGGGTTCAAGATCACCTTGTTGACATTATGCCAACAACACCCATGCCATCTCCCCTCCCCCCCCCCCCCCACCACCTCTCTGGCACTTTTCTATTTCCACATCCTCCATTTTTCTTCCTCTTCCTATTTCCTGCCCGTCTCCCTCACTTCCTCCCTACTCTCTCTCTCTCTCTCTCTCTCTCTCTCTCTCTCTCTCTCTCTCTCTCCAATCCCTGTCTGCAGGCAGGAAGGGCGTGGGTATGAGGCCAGGCATTAACACTGACAGATGGCACTAACAGCGGGCATCACAAACACTACCCTGCCAGCTGGGGGCCGACAGCTGTAGCTGACAGCTGTGGCTGACAGCTGGGGCTGACAGCTGTGGCTGACAGCTGGGGCTGACAGCTGTGGCAGACTCCTGGGGCTGACAGCTGTGGCTGACCCCCTGGGGCTGACAGCTGGGGCTGACCCCCTGGGGCTGACAGCTGGGGCTGACAGCTGGGGCTGACAGCTGGCGCTGACAGCTGGGGCTGACAGCTGGGGCTGACAGCTGGGGCTGACAGCTGGGGCTGACAGCATGCACTAAAAACAAACAAAGGCTCACTATTACATCACTTCCGGGACGTCAACCTTCCTCTCAGCGTGCAGGTAAACACCGTCTGATCGTCCCAATGCAGCCTGCACATGCTC